AAAGAGTGTATGTAGGTTCCACCAAATTTTTTCTAACAAATCATGAAATATATGTCACATTTTAGGCTATTAGGCAAGCCTTACAAAGTTGATATCTAGAAGTCAAAAACTTTTCAGAACATACACTAAAGACATCATAATATCATCATCACCATAAAGATGCAAGTTGCATCACTTCAAGTCATGAGAAACAAATTTGATACCATCGGACAGTTTGGTTAGGCCCCTCACGACCTTCAACTTAGTTTTTCTGGCAAGTTATAAGAATGGATTTAATCTCATTCACTTTCAGATTAGATCATTAGGGTGCCACATCCACAGAACCCTATTCTGTTGGTTCTAGTTTAAACCAGATTGAACTAGATCATTAATTATAAACACAAAAATTCCTCTTATGTATAGTTGAAGCCTATCTCACTTAAAAGGAAAAGAAAATGGTATATTTGCTTGTGAAGAAAAAACAATTACGCTATTATGTAGTAAAGAAACCACAACAAAAAGGATCTTTAAGCTTAAAGTGGCTTGAAAATTCTTACCCATTAATGGGTGACTTGGAATATAAAATTTGTAGACAGTGATGAAATTATAAATTTTCCACTTCATTTTGTTCATTACGAATGATGACATAACGGCATTTAGCCATGAATAATCTCTATAATTTCAAATACTTGTGCTACATATGAACAATTAAAGTATGGAAGGAAACAAAAGGGTATACCAGCTACATAATCATGACCTCCTACAGCCCGTACGATTGCAGTTCCATTATGATTGGGGGATGAACGAAGCTATGCAGATGTTCTGATCTCAGATGAAACAATTAAGCCAACCACCATACTCTTCTTTCTGATGATTTTCTAAACCTAGATCATAATTTAAATGATAAACTGATTATTCATGATTCTCGTGATTTTGATATCAAATGGCTTTGTAATAGTTTAGTTGGGTGGATATCTGAAGGTATGGACTATAGATATATTCAACAATAATTAGTCCAGACTGGATTACTTTTTAGTGGCCACTCAAGTTCTTATTCTGTTTGATGACCATAATGTTATGATGAATGCTTTTACTATAAAAAAAAAGCAGCAGAAGAAGAAAAATAAGAAATCTAGCCAAGTTTCTTCACCAATATACTATGATGGCTCCCATCAGATTGTGCTGCACACAGATTAGCATGGATCTCTATTACAAATCTACCAATATCTGGATGGAATATAGCTTGTCTCACAAAACTGTTACAAGATATGGGCAGATTAATAGGGTATGACAAAATCAGCCTAAGGTTCTCTTCATTATATGTCATACGACTTCTTATTGGCACCCAGAATTCTAATACTCTACATTCTGAAGTGACGTTAAGACGATGATGATTATCGTATTACAATCTCTGAGACTGATTCTCTACCTTACCCGGACAGTGATTCAATACCATACAGTATAGATACTCTTTTTGGAAACACTACAGTAAGTTGAAGATGATGAGTCAGATGATTAGTCTGAAAATTTAGACAGATCAGGGAATGTGGAAAAAATGTGGATGTTGTACCTACTCTCCCAATCAGTATACCTCAAGTGGTCGACTACAAGATTCAACATACTTTCATGATGTATAACACACATTGGAGTGGTGATAAATCCTCAGCAAGAATCATAGAGGAACAAGAGCATTTATTCCCAGAAATTTTAGGATTGTATGTGTTGAAAATAAACTAATTTCTGGAAATTAGTTTATCTAGTCAACTGATTGAGACTAATTAACTGGTTGGATTAAATAAATCAATTGATTGGTTGAGAAACAATCGACTGGTTCATTTGATGAATACAATTCTTGTTCAAATTAGAATTTATTTATATTAGTTTAATTTCTTAATTATTTAGGACATTTATGCCTATAAAATGGCTTGTAATATAAAATTATTTAACACAAAAAGAGAGAATAGTTAAGAGAGTTTAGAAAAAGATCTAATAAAAGTATACATTTCTCTTAGTCTTCTTCTTGTTCTTGAGTTTTTGACTTTGCATTACTGTTTTTTTATCTTATAGCACATTCATCCTTCTTTCAACAAGTGGTATTAGAGTTCAGGTTTGATTATTTACATGATTAATCCAAACTTCCCACTTCATTATCCTATGTTAACAAAGAATGACTATGAAACTTAGTTTATTCAAGTAAAAGCTTGGTTAGGTTCCCAAGATGTATGAGAAATTATTGAAAAAGACTTTGAGGAGCCTATAGATAGAGTAACATTGACTTTATTCTAAAGGGAGATTATACAAAAGACATGAAAGAAGGATCAATAAGCACTAACAATCATCAACTATTGTCTAGATACCATTTTTGAGATAGTGACAAACATAACCATGACCAAATAAGCATAAAATTTTTTGCATGAATCAAACCAAGGAGTTGACAATGTGAGGAAGATATGTTTACAAAAGTCACGTGGTGACTTTGAAAAGTTACATATGCTTGATTAAAAAAATATTTATTTAGAATACTTTGCAAGAGTATTGACCATATATAATCAAATGAAGAGATATAGGAAGAAGATGGAAAAGAGACGTGTGGTAGAGAAGATCCTATGCTCACTGCAAAAGACATTCTATTATTTGGTGGTTGTGATAGAGGAGTCATAAAATATATATGTTCTTTCAATCCCAAGTCTCATGGGAAAATTGCAAGCCCATAAAAAAAAAATTCAATAAGATTTAAGAAGATGTGGATAAACAAAGACTTTTTCATAGTAAAATGGTTTTGGATATTCACAAGGGGTAGAGGATGTGGACAAAACAAAGAAAGAGATAGATTTGGAAAAGAAGGTCGTAGCAGCCTCAACAAGTCAATCAGTCGACCGCATAAAACAAACTAGTTTACCAGTTACACTAATAATGGCAATCTGAAATCTAGGTTTGACAAATCAAAAATTGAATGCTATAATTGTTAAAAGGTAAGCCATTATATAAGGGATTGTAGAAGTCCAACAAAGAGGGTTAAGGAGAATGCAAATCTAGTGATAGAAAAGGTGAAGGAGACCACCCTATTAATAGTGTGTGATGAGAGAATGTGAGACAAAGAGAACATGTGGTATCTAGATATTGGAGCCAGCAACGATATATATAGAGATAAAGATAAGTTTATGGAGCTTGATAAAGCGATTAGAGGTAAGGTAATGTCACCTTTACTAATCATTCAAAGGTTTTCATGAAAGGAAAATGTTTGATTTTGATTAAATTAAAAGATAAAAGTCATCAGTGAAAAACAACATATTGAGCTTAGGATAATTACTAGGAAAGGGGTATGATATTAAGATGAAATGTTGTACTTTGGCATTACTTGACACTAAAGGAGTTATAATTGCAAAAGTAGCCATGAAAAAAAAATCTAATGTTCTTGCTAAACATAGAAACAGATATACCTAAATGCATATGTGAAGGATTAGACTTGGTTTGGCATATAAGACTTGGATATATAAACATTGATAGCTTGAAGATAATAGCACAAAAAGAGATGTTGAAAGGTCTACCATCTATTATCCATCCAAATCAGTTGTATGAATGATGTTTAGTAGGTAAATAATTTTGCAAGAGCTTTCTAAAGAAGTCTAAATCAAAAGAAAGTCAACCCCTATAAGAAATATATGTTGATTTTTGAGGTCCTATCAAACCATGTTTATTTGATAAAAATCTATATTTTTTACTTTTTATTGGTGATTAAGTGGAAAAAATTAGGTATACTTCTTAAAAGAAAAGGTTTAATATGTTTAGTTGTTTTAAGAAGTTTAAAGCATTAATTCAAAAAGAAAATGGTTATTCTATATCACTTAGGACAAATAAGAGGTGAATTTTATTCTAATGATTTTAGTATATTTTGAAAAGATCATGATATAAAGAGACTCCTAACGAGACCTAGATCCCCATAATAAAATGACATAGTAGAGAGAGAATAGAAACATTCTTAATATGGGAAGAAGCATGCTCAAAACCAAGAAGGTGTTTAAAGAGTTTTGGGCCAAAGCTGTGGATTGTGCTATTTACTTGTCAAATAAATGTCTTACTAAACGCTTAAATGGCATGACTCCACAAGAATTATAGAGTGAAAGAGAGTCAAATGTTTTTGACATGAAAGTTTTTTGGAGGATTGACTATATGCATATATATAATTAAGTAAGGACCCATCTAGAAAACAAGAGCAAAAAGATGATCTATGTAAGCTATAAACAAAAGTCTAAACGATACAAGTTGTATAACCTTAATGAAGGAAATATGGTATTAATAAAGATGTTGAATTCAATGAAAAAAGAGCTTGGGATTGGAAGGTAGATGATGGTGAGAAATATGACTTCCTACCAATTATTGATGAAGAGTAGGAAAGATATAAAGATTATCAAGAACCTATAGTTATACCTCCACAAACACCAATTAGCTTAAATTTTTCTTTTTCTTTTTTGGCATCTTTTTTCTAGTGGAAGATCAAGTTGTGGCACTCCAGTAAATGCATGAACAAAGATGAGGAGCCTTGATGACTTATATGAGGTAACTATAGTGTTTAAAGAAGCAATAAAATATGTAAAATAAAGAATTGTTATAGATAAAAAGATTGCATTAATTAAAAAGAATGACACATGGAAATTAGTTCCCAGACCAAGAGGAAAAAGTTCAATAGGTATTACATGGATCTTCAAACAAAAGACTAATATCAAAGGAGAAGTAGAGATGTATAAGACAAGGTTAGTGGCAAAAAGCTGTAGTCAAAATCATAGGATTGACTGTGATGAAATATTTGCTCTAGTTGCTAAATTAAAGATCATTCAATTAATTATCATTATTGCCCAACATAGATAGATAATTTATCAAATGGATATCAAATCATCTTTTCTTAATAGTTTTCTTGAAAATGAGGTTTATGTTAAGCAACATATAGGATATGAAGTGAAGGGACATGAAGACAATGTATTAAAGTTGAACAAAACCTTGTATAGATTGAAGCAAACCCTTAAGGCTTGGTATAGTCACATTGATGCCTATTTCTTAATGAATGGATTTGGTAAATGCCCTCATAGATATGCTATCTATGTAAATATCATACTCTTATTGTATATTTATATGTGGATGACTTGATCTTTACAGGATATAATCCAAATATGTTTAGAGACTTCAAGCGAGCAATGATCAAGGAGTTTAAGATGATGGATATTGGTTTCATGTCCTACTATTTATGAATTAAGATCAAACAATGAGAATATGAAATCTTTGTTAATCAAGAGAGGTTTGCAAGGGAGCTTCTCAAAAAGTTTAAGATTAGGGATTGTGCAAAAGTAAATACTATGGTTGAGTATGAAGTAAAGATATCAAAGAATGATGAAAAAGAGAAGATAAACTCTACAACATTCAAAAACTTAGTTGGGAGTTTGAGATATTTAGCATGCACTCGTCCGGATATTGTTTTTTGAGTTGGACTTATGAGAAGATTTATAGAGACACTAACCATGACACACTTCAAATCATTGAATTGAATTCTTCGGTGTATTAAAGGCATTGTTAATTTTGGCTTATTCTATGTTATTCTAATAACTTTGAACTTATAAATTATAGTGATAGTGATTGAATTGGAGATATGGATAATAGAAAAAGCACTACGAGTTTTGTTTTCTACATAGGAGACATTATTTACATAGAGTTCAAATAAGCAATCTATAGTCACTTTGTCAATATGTAAAGCTACATATATAGCTACTTTATCATGTGTTTTTCATTTCTTATGGCTAAACGGATTATTAAAGGAATCGTGAATGTGACAAGAAAAACTTACTGAAATTTATATGAACAACTCATCAGTCACTACATTAGTAAAGAATCTAGTATTTCATGATAGAAGTAAGCATATTAACACAAGATTTCATGACCTACGAGATTGCATTATAAACAAATAAGTTGAAGTCAAATATATGAAAACACAAAACTAAATCGTGGATATTTTCACAAAGCCATTGAAAAATGATGTTTTTATCAAGATGAGAAATATGTTGGGATTTAC